AATAGACCAAATCCTTGAAAGACATACTATTAAAATTTACTGAAGAATTAATTAACCTAAACAGTCCTCTATTACAGAAAATAAATTAGTAGTAGAGACCTACAAACGTATCAATTTAATCTCTTATGGTCTATGTTTTTTTTTAAGATATATTTTTATTGGTTTCAGAGGGGAAGGAAGAGGAAGAAATAGAAACATCAATGATGAGCAAGAACCATTAATCAGTTGCCTCCTGCACACCCCACATTGTGGATAGAGGCAGCAACCCAGGCATGTGCTCCTGACCAGAATCAAACCCAACACACTTCAGTCCAAAGGCCGACACTCTACCCACTGAGTCAAACCAACTAGGGCTGGTCAGTGCTTTTGGTGTTCATTCAATAAATATTTGCCTAACCTAGAGTCACAAAAGGATTTCTCCTTGTTTTTTTCTAGAGGTTTAATTGTTTTAAGTTTTAAATTTAGGTTTATGATTCATTTTTTAGTGTATTTTTGAATACAATATAAGGTATGGATCAAAGTCATTTTTTTCTTTTTTGCATATGGATATGCAATTGTTTCAGCCCCATTAAAAAGGTATCCTTTATATACTTAACTGCCTTTGCACCTTTGTTAAAATAAGTTCTTGATGTATGTGTGAGTCTATTCCTGATTTCTATTTCATTGGTCCATTTATCTTTACACCAATACTACACTGTTTTGATTACTATAGTTGTATAATAAGAATTGAAATACAGTAGCATTACTTCTTCAACTTTATTCTTTACCAAAATTGTTTTGGCTAGTCTAGGTACATTGTATTTCCATATGAATTTTGCAATCAGTTTGTCAATTCTCCATCTTGTCAGACTAATCTCTGTAATTTTAGAAGAAATGAAAACTCATATTTACACAGAAATCTGTATGCTAATGTTTATATCAACTTTAGTTACTTCTTCACCAAAACCAGAAAAACCTAAATATCCTTCAAGAGGTGAATAGATAAACCATATGTGATACATGCATGAAATGGAATACTACTCAGAAATGAAAGGAAAGGAACTATTATACACACAGCAACACAAATTACTCAAATGCAATATATTACATGAAAGAACCCAGACTCAAAAGGCTACATACTGTATGTATGATTCCATTTATATGACTCTGTAGAGGCCCATTGCACGAAATTCTTGTTGGGGGTGGAGGGGTAGTGGGAGGGCTCAGCCTGGCCTGCACCTCGTTGCATTCTGGGACCCCTCAGGATCAGGCCTAAACCAGCAATCTGGGACTGCTGGCTCCTAACCACTCACCTGTCTTCCTGCCTGATCGCCCCTAACCACTCTGCCTGCCTGCTTTATCACTCCTAACCACTTGCCTGCCTGATCGCCCCTAACTGCCTCTGCCTCAGTCCCCACCACTGCGGGTTCATCCAGAATGATGTCCAGAAGTCGTTCATCTGTCCAGTCTAATTAGCATATAATAATTTTATTATTATAGATTCCAAAAGAGTCAAAACTACAGCAACAGAGAACAGACCACTGGATACCAGGCACTGAGGCTTTAGGAGGGCTTAACTTCAAAAGGATGGTTCCAAGGAATTTTGGGGGGTGATAGAATTGTTCTGAATTTCAAATATGGTGTGGTTACACAACTATATGCATTTGTCAAATTAAGATTTCAGCATACACAATTTTAAATAAATTTAAGAAAAAATTAAATATTATGCATACTCGCAGCCCTCCCTGAATAGTGCTAAACTATACATGTATGGCACAAAATTTTATATACATGACAATTAAAGAGTTATTAAAATTTTTAAACTTGCTAAAATTTACTTTTATATATTAAACCCAGTACTACACTATTACACCAACTTACAGACCCAAAGGTAGCCTAATTAGGAAAGTTAGAACTACTATCAGACCAGTCAACCATATGAATCCAATTTTAAGCAATGATTCCCAAATTGCTACCTACAATGACAAGATCCCCCAGGTGACTCACATTATACGTATTGAAGTTTTAAAAATACTGCTCCTGACAAGAGCCAATTCTCTCCCATTTTTTGTTGTGTTTTGTTTTCAGAATCCTTACACTATGGGTTATCCATTTTTTCTCCTATCACTTTGACCTTTAAAAGAAGAAGCCCACATCCCCATTCCAACCAAACTTCTCAAAAAAGTTTTTTGCATTTTGTCTCCATTTCTTCACTTTCTACTTACTCCTCAATCCATTCTGATCTGTCCCTCATCACCATTCCACTCTGAGTCCTCATTAAGATCAATAATTTGAGAATATTGCTAAATATTTTAGACTTGAGCCCTACTTGACCTCTCTCATCATATTCAACACAATTGTCCTTTTTATTCTTGATTCATTTCTTTCATGTGCTGGCATGTAAACTAATCTATTAATATAATAATAAAAGCATAATATGCTAATTAGACCGGACATCTTTCTGGACAAAGCCAGGGCTGGGAGGGAAGCAGGAGTCTTGGGTGCCTGCCAGTGACCAAAGGGGGGGCCAGTACCTGCAGACATGGGAAGGCCTGCCTACTGTTGCACAAAATGTCATGCATCAGGTCTATAGTGGTGGACAAAACTGTTGGTGCTTTAGCATGAATCAAGGTAGTGGCGCTGAATTTTACTACAAGTTTTGGCACGGAAATTTTTAAAAGCAACTTTACTATAGAATAATCTTGGTGAAGCAAAAGAAATCATTAATTTCACTAACCACAAACCTTGAATACATCTTTTAAATATTTTACTTAAGGAAACAGAACGAAAATATCAAGTACTTCTGCATACCCAAGAATGATGATTGTGTCAAGGAAAAGTACTTGTACAACCTTTAAATAGTCCAATTAGCCACTTTTTTCATGCAACATCATTTTTACTTGAAAGAACATCAAACTGTGGTTATGTAGACTTGGATATCTGGCAAACATTTTCTCAAAAATTAATGAAGTTAAGCCTTCCATTTCAAGGAAAGTAATTTAACAATATCTGTTGCCGTTGATAATAGTTAAGTATTCAAGCAAAAATTATAATTTTGGGAAACTTGTGTCTGCCATTGTGACACTGACAGCTCCCCAATATTTAAAGATTCTGATGAAATCAGTAGTCATATCAGCAAATGTGTTTTTTATATTTTGATGACATATGTCAACTTAGGATATCTGTATAACTCAGTAGACCAATATTTTTCACATAACCAGTAAGTATATTACTTTACAAACTTTTTAAAAATATATATTTTATTGGTTTTTTACAGAGAGGAAGAGAGGGATAGAGCTAGAAACATCGATGAGAGAGAATCATCAATCAACTGCCTCTTGCTACAGGGGATGTGCCTGCAACCAAGGTACATGCCCTTGACAGGAATCGAACCTGGGACCTTTCGGTCCACAGACCGATGCTCTATCCACTGAGCCAAACCAGTTTCGGCTGACTTTACAAACTTAGATATGGGTTAAAAACCTACGCAATGTACAAGACAGACCAATAGCTTTTAATGTAATAGAATGAAAAGTTCATTGATATTATTTCAGAATCCACATTCTCATCCTTAAGAAACTATTATTTGCCCAGTTTTGGTATGCTATCAAAGGAGAATGTCCATTGATGGGGGGGGAAAAATATTACAACATTCCTCCTTTTTTTCCAACTACATCTATAGAGGATTTTTTTTCATATATGTTAATCAAAACAACATAATGCAACAGACTGAATGCAGAAGCAGATATGAGAATCCAGCCAAACCCAAACTCATGACCTCAGTCCCTCAAAACATGCTCCTCTGTTCCAGTGTTCTCTCTCACTGAATGGCATCATCCATTGTAACCTGAATCATACGTTACCTCCTTCTTTTTCACTTTCATACTCAACAAGTCCTATTTTACCTTCTAAATGTGTCTCCAATCTATCCATTTATTTATACTTTTATTATAGCAATCTTTTCTCTGACTCATAGCCTAACAAGTCTACAAGCATTTGTCCTCAACCATTCTCCAAAAGCAGGTTATGTTTTTAAAAGTAAAATTTAATCACATCTCTCTTTCATTACACTTCCCATCGCCTTGAGACAAAACCAAAAGCTTTACTTAGCATACACAAAAGACTCCATCTGATATTGATGCTACCTCAACTCAGCTCTCCAGCAACTCTTCCTTGCCCCAGTTACATGAGCTTTTTCCAAGTTCCTCAGCTGAGGATTATTAATTACTCACTTATTAATTCATCTTCAATAATGATTCATTCAAAAATGAAGACAATTAAAAATGTGTTATCAATTTAATAATACAATCTTTATTCCCACTTCAAAGAAATTAATATACTTACATCAAATTTTACATCAACATCTCAAATATTTTCTATTAACTACCTCAAAATGGTATTAAAACAGCATTCAGAAAAAAAACATGGCATTAATGGCTACTCTAATAATGAATTCTCTTTTACATTTTTGCTTAGCTTCTACATTTTAACCTCTGAATAAAACTGTTTAAACTTTCTAAACTTCATAATCTGTTTCTACTATTCCAAAAAGTATGCCATGTGGGTACTATGCAATTTATACCCTCTAAACTGAAATTTAAAAGACAATGATTTGCTGGAATAAAAGATGTCATGTAACTTAATACTTATAAAAATTGGCATTTATAAACATGTTCATTATCATCTACATTTTCATATCGATTTCTAGTTAATTTCTTGGTACAGGAATAGTTACCTTTAAGTATCTATATTTTAGCAGTTCATAACATATTTTGAAAATGAATCAACCAAGCTATGGTTAAAGATGTATTCCCTACTTAACCCTATTCATTCAATAAATAACATATTGTGTCAACACAATTATCATTACTCGACTTACTACACAGAAAATTATAAATGCAAAACTGCTAAACTTTTTAAAAGATAGCTTTAAAATCCTAAACAAAATGAAGTCAGCAAATAGTCAAAAACAGATGTCACTACAGCAACCCCAAAGGAAGATGATGAAGTGATGTACTTACGTTTCAAAACATCGGTCCACGTTGTCAGACATCAAAAGCAGCATGCATAGCTGTTCAAGTGCTATTAGTTGCATGTCCCTTTCATCTCCCTGTCCCATCTGTAGCCATTCCAGCAATGTGTCTGGATCCACATCTGCCATGTTTTTTTTTTTTTTAAGCCTCTTTGCTTAAATTAAAAAAGTAAATGGGAAAAATTCCTTTAAATGTCCAGGATTGATCAGTTGGGGTTTAAAATTTTTTCCTTTGCATCAGTTGGAACCAAATTTTCATGGTGTCCTCCTAGAAATTAGAAAAGACTCATTAAGTTATGGTGTTTGTTTTTTTTAACATAGTGCTTAGTGCACATAGTGCTTAGTGCTTTCAACTTTCCTTATTCCTCAGACTTAACGTTCCTATATCATACCAAATAAAAGCCAGTTTTGCACAAGAGTATAAGCTGATTAGGTTTCGGCTTAGCTGGAAACCAGAGCTCTTTCTTTGTCAAAGTCTCAAACAAGCTTCGGATCCCACTACTGCTATCACTAACGCCGGTGCCAAAAGGCAAAGAACACCTTACTAAAGGTTCTCTCTCTCTCTCTCTCTCTCTCTCTCTCTCTCTCTCTCTCTCTCTCTCTCTCTCTCCAGGCAAACTTCTTCCCCCACTCCTCCACCCCAAACTGATCTTCAGATAAGGGTTCGATTCGGACTCAGCAGCACTTTGAACCATTACCCCTCCAAATTAAGTTCCTGCTTTAAAAACTGCCTCTCGAGTCACACACTTTGCTGACTCTCAATTCACTCTCTACTATTTGTAAGATGTCCAAATACAAACGACAATCCGGTACTAAGATGTACCTACGAATACAGACTTGATGAGGGATTTTTGGCAGTCTCGTCAATTGTTCTTAAAAAGTTTCAAAAGAAATGCTAAACGTAAATAACAATGAACTAAAAAAAAAAACATGACGACCAGAATGTAGGCCAATCCAAGGACCTCCTTCCCCATCCGCACCGAAGGGAGCAGTTGGTTCTCACACACTCACACACACACTCACACTCACACACACACACACACACACACACACACACTCTCACATTCACACTCCACTCACACTCACACTCACACGCACTCACACTCACACGCACCCCAAAAGGAAAGTCACCCCCGAAGCCTGGAAGCGCCCCAATGGAGGGCGGGCAGCCCCGGGTCCCCCGGAGCCCGGAGCTGCAGGTGTGTGAGCCCGGAGGCGGCCCAGGGGGCCCCCAGCGGCGGAGACCAGCGGGGACGACCGACCCGGCACTCGGGGCGCCCCGCACCCCGCCAAGGCGGCCCCCGTGACCAGGAGGCCCCGGCCGGGACGGGACGGCGCGTCCCGGGGAGCGGCGCCCAGAACTCCGGAGGCCCGGCGGGTCGTCCCCGGCGCGGCCGGGCAGCGAAGCCTCCTGAAGGGCAAGGGGGAGGAAGGGGGGTGCCCGGGGGCCCGGCTCGGGCAAGCCGGGCTCCGCCGCCGGAGGGAAACAAAGGGGCTCAGCGGGTGAGTCGGCAGTCGCCCCGCCGACCTTACCAGGGGCCGGGGGTCTGGTTCCCCGCCGCCAACGCCGCCGCCGCCCGGCTTCCTGATCTCGGCCCCGAAGCCTCGCCCTTCTGACCTCCCGAAGCGCTCCCGCGTCCCCTTCCCTCCAGCTCTCACCCGGCCTCGGAGTCCCAAACCGCTCCGCTCCGCTCCGGGCAGGCCGCGGGCAGAATCAGGGCAGGCCGCGGCCCTCGAGTGGCCAGGAAGCCGCAGGTCGAGCCGGGGAAGGCGGCACAGGAAGCGCCGCGCCTCGTCCCTCCCCTTCCTCCGCGGGGCCCGGCTGACAGGGAAGGAGAGCTCCCCCGGCCCGCGGAAGGCAGCGCACGTCCCGGCCCCGCACGCGGCTCCGCAGGCCCGCAGCTCGGTCAGAGGCACGCGCGGAGCTGCCGGCGGCGGCGGCGGCGGCGGCGGCGGGGGGAGGCCGCGTCCATCGCGATGCCGGAGGGGGGGGGGGGGGGGCGCCTGGGCGAGAGCTGGGCGGGGAGGCCGGCGAGCTCGGCGGGGGCGGGGCCAATGGGCTCCGGCGTCGGCCTCCCGCCGGCCGCCACGTGGGGCGCTGCGGAGGCCGCCGGGCCAGCCGCGCAGGGGCGCCCCCAGTCCGGAGGCGTTGCTGCCCCCGCCAGGGCGCTCGAGCCTCCCGGGGCCCGGACTCCCTGGGCCTGGCCGCCGTCGCGCCGCTGGCGTACGTGCTGACGCCTTTCCGCTTCGCTGTCAGGCCGCGCGCGCTCCCCGCGCCGCGCACGCCGCGTCCGCGAGCCCCGTGCTCCTGCGCGGCGCTTGCCCCCCGCGGCCCGGCCTCCCCGGCCTCCCGCCCGGGCGCCCGCGCTCCGCGAGCTCCGCTCCTCGGTCCCTGGAGGCAAGAGGCCCCTCGGTCCAGCAGAAAGAAACCCTTTCGCCAAACCCCTGGGAAGCAAACGCCGGGCGTTACCTCCACGGTACCGATGTGAGAACCGGCCCCTGGGCGCCCCCAGTCTGCAGCGGCGCCCCGAGGGTGCTTTGGGCTCTCCTGCGGGGCTTGGGCTCCAGTGTGTCCCTGGGGATTCCCCTCCAACGTTTCCTTTCCCACGCATTGGAAATAAAATGTGCCTGCTGACAGGACATACTTGGAAATACTTAGGGTGTAATTCATCGGAAATGGGACTATGACTATGGCTTTTAAAATTAAAAAAAAAAAAAATGAATCCCGCGGGTTGTGAGATAAATAACACCCATGTCCCCAGACACTCCCACTGTACGTGTTCATCTCTTAAACAAAAATGGATATTACAGGATAGTGTTTGAAACGTGTTCCTTTAGGAAATGAGAGGTGCTGCTGCTTAAGGTAGAAGAACCTGCATTTGGATTGGTCCCTCTTTCTCCTGTGGAGGAGTTTGAATGGAACTATACTTGTGTTAATACAGCTATACAACCTTGTGTTTCCCCTTCCCTCCCCCAGGTCAAATCTACTGTGATAATTTTTTTCTTTTTTAATTATTTATATCGTTGAAAGTAAAAGAAAAAGAAACATTATCGCCCTACCTGGTTTGGCTTGGTGGGTAGAGCGCCAGCCTTCAGACGGAAGGGTTCCAGCTTAGATTCCAGGGAAGAGCACATGCAGATCCCCAATGGGCATGCAGGAGGCAGCCAATCCATGATTTTCTCTCATCATTGATGTTTCTATCTCCCTCCCTCTCCTTCCTCTCTGAAGTCAATAAAAATATTTTTTAAAAGTGACGTGATTTTTATTGTTTTTTATTATAATATTAATAAAGAAAAAAAGTGATGTGACTGTTATTGTTTTTTACTATATTATTTTAAATTAAAATGTCAGATCCCAGAACAAGAGCACTGAAGAAAATGAATAAAGCCATGAAGAAAACAAGACCCAGATGAAAGCAACTGAGCTTAAATGTGCCTCCCAAGAAACTGGGATATGTTTACAAGCTAATTATTTTACCTTAATGTCAAAATTTAAGAATAATGAGTATTGAGAATTACTATGTGCCAAGCACAGTGGAAGGCGCAGTAAGTCACAGACTTCATCTTCAATGAACTATAAAAGTCTAGGGGAAGGTAGGTGTCAATACACTTCCTGTGTCTACCTCTGTGATGGTACTTACCACATAATATTGTCAGGCACCGTGGGAACATCCAGGAGGTGGTGGCATCTCAGAAGGCTTCAAAAATGATGTGTGAACTAGAGCACAAATGTTGAATTGGAGCTGGCCAGACCTTAGGAGGACCATGTGGAAAGGCATAGTGATGTGAAGATAACTCCTGTTGGGTGAGCAGAGGGAACAGGCTGCCTGTTGACCCCACTTCCTTGAAGGATCTTCAATAGACACACCATCACTGGGACCCATTCACAAGATCAAAAAGGAAAAGAAAAAGAAAAGAAAGAATTGAATCTTGTAGTATAGAATGACCATATTTGTATATAAGATTTTAAAGGAAATCTTGTCAAGTGCCTTCCAGAAATTCACATATTTCAACTATGGTATCCCAGTAATAACATTTGGGGAAGTTGATGAAGGATATATATGCAGAAAATCTTTTCATTTTTTGGCAAGTTTTTATATCTCTAAATTTTTTTTAAATTAAAAGTTAAAAAACAAAACAGTAAGTTTAGCTTGAGATGTCTAATTCTTATTAATGCTTCTATAAATCGCTCTTTTCTAAAAATTCAAAACGATGTATTTAAAAATAAATTCTAGAATTTGGACAATTTATAAGATTCACAAGATCCACCATATATTCCTTGACAATGAAGACAAAAACCAAATAATAATTGTAAAAGTTGTATGCTTTATGTTCCTAGTTAATTGTTTTTCCTCCAAAGTTAAAATTCTATAATTTGCTATAACTCTTTGTAAAACATCTGTACCCTTTGTCTTGAGGAAATTATTCTCTCCAATAAATAAAAATATTGTTCATCTTTATTAGCATACTTGGGTGTATATTAATTACCTTATAAGCTTATTTAAAATAAAAGTAGGATCTGATTTACAAAAATTTATTCAACAGAAAACTTTCAAGAACATAACTTCTATAAAGAATTATATCTTCCTTTTTTTTTCTTTTAAGAATGATATCTTAGTACATATGTCAAAGTGTGTATTAGAGTAAAAACCTATTTGATTATTGGATAAATTTTAAATTTTCCCTTCTGGATGTATGCTATCAAGGAATTATTGTTAATTGTGTTTTTTTTTTTAATATATTTTATTGATTTTTTACAGAGAGGAAGGGAGAGAGATAGAGAGCTAGAAACATCGATGAGAGAGAAACATCGACCAGTTGCCTCTTGCACACCCCCTACAGGGGATGTGCCCACAACCAGGGTACATGCCCTTGATGGGAATCGAACCCCGGACCTTTCAGTCCGCAGACCGACGCTCTCCCACTGTGCCAAACCGGTTTCGGCTATTGTTAATTGTTTTTATTTATGATAATTGTATAATAGTTTTATTTTCTGAAAAAGAGTTCTCATCACTTACAGCAGTATTCTAGATTACTGTATTTACAGATCAAATTATATGACAACTAGAATTTGCCTCAAAATAATTTGAGGGAATAATGGGTAGATGAAACAATTGGTCAGGATAACT